GGAACACAGCCAATATCTAATGACCCTTCTGCTCTGCTGCCAAGGTGGAGCACCTCGGAGTGCCACAGTTATTGCTGCACACAGGAGTATAATAATCACAGGCATCATGAGAGCAATAACATTTCTATTTACATGAACTGTTTTCAAGCTTGAAAGAAAGTGAGCAGGGTCAATAACATATTACGGAGGAGAGATGGCCTATAGTTTGTAATAAGTTGTAATAATAATAGAATTTGTAATAATAATCTGATAATGCATAATCTGGGTAATCCAATAATGCAGTAATCTCATACTAGAGGTTAATAATCTCTAACAATCATTTTACTTCTGCAGAAAACTCATCTAATTATGGACTTCCTAGAACATAAACACTCAGAATTTCAGTACATTTAGACTTTATGCCTATATAACTCCTAAGAGTCAGCATTTCTTAAGTAATCCTGATTTACTTGTCTCTTGATTTCCAATTACCACTCTTTCTCAGAGATAGTAATAGTCACACTGGTGTATTTTAGAGCCTTTTATTTCAGATAAGTGGCACAATTGCGATGCTGTGATCCACAGGTCTTTAGGAAGGACAAGGAGAGGATAAAGATGGGGGTGGATTTGCAGTGCATGAAAAGAGGTTCAAATGCATGGCACCCTGCACATATTCTTGCAAGTGATGCAAGTTAACTGCATTGGCAAGAGTGTAGCCAGCAGATCATTCAAAGTGATAATTACCCCACTGTGTGGCATAATGACACCCCATCTGCAGCACTGTGCCCACTTGTGTAATCATTAATCGTAGAAATCTTAACAAACTAAAGATGACGAACGTTGAGGGTGGATAGGGAGGAGGGACCCCAGGCAAGAGGCTTTTCCTTTTATCCCTAGCTCTGGGAGGGAGCGGTGCTCCCTTCCTCTCCCCCTACCACGAGGTGTCCCATGGCCCCTGCAGAGACCACAGGAGACGGCAGCAGCAGGCAGGGCGAGAAGGCAGAGAGAGTTTATTGTTCTGGATAACGACTTAAGTGCCTCCTGGAGGGATTACAAGGTGACCATTGGGAGTCCAGGACAACCCTTGACAATAAGGGGTTAACAACCAATAGATGAGCTCTCAGTTATCTCTTAGACATTCCCAAGGTACAGGTAAGACTAAGGGACCTTGGGAAGAAGAAAGGTTTACACAAAGAGTCACAACGCCATTTTGGAAGCATGTTCACTTCAAACAACATTAAAACTTCTGCATTACTGCAACATAAAGAGAATCCAGAAGAGGACTAAAAGGGTTCAGGGGCTGGAGGAAGTAAAGGCTGAGATTACCGGGTTTGTTGAGAGGAAGATTAGGGGTAGATCTCATAGCTGTCTTCTGCTACATAACAAGAGAATTGTAGAGAAGATGAAGCCAAAGGTGCACTGCAAAATGACAAAAGACAGATGCCCAGTTGTAGCAAGAGAAATTCCATTTGGATATGTGAGAGGAGAAAAAAAGAAAGTAACAGGCTGCTCAGATATATTATGACATCTCCTTTCTTCAAGATTTTGATGTACCAATTAGAGAAACTGAGTAAGCTCTTCGTACTTTGAATCTGGCCCAGATTTGGTCAGGAGGTAGGACTAGGTAACCTTCAGAGGTGCCTTCCAACCTGAATGATTCTGAAATTCCAGAGTACCCAGTATTGTCTGTGTATTTTATGTTTGGATGGCATAATTATGCAAAAGGAAAAATTTACATTTTAGTCTTGCTTATTGCTGAGTGCTTATACTTTTAGGGTGCTTACAATTTATCTAGAGTGGCATGGAAACATTTGTTTTCATTCAATAAAAAAATTATTTTTTTTCTCAATGTGAGGAAATTCAAAGTACAGGACATGTTATTTTTACTGTGAAAGAACCTTGGTACTGGCCTTACCACTGACTGAGGTTAAATCACTTGACCCTTTGCTCTGTCTCCTCTTCTCTTTACACCTGAGTAACAATATTTCCTTTATGTCACAGAGTTATTATAAGAATTAACTTATCAATTTCTTAATTACCCATGGAACAGCAATATTTTGATGGCATCTATATCTCTTTCTCACTGAACTGGTTACCAGTGCAGTAAGAGTGGCTATGAGCAGGGGAAAGTCCTGCACCTTTCAGGTCTCCAGAGTTCAAAGGGCGTTAGACCAATTGGAGTCTTCTAAATCCGTTCAAGTTTTGGGATCCTGGGGTGTTTGATAAATGTAGTATTTCTTCAGATGACCAAGTTTCCTGTGCTGACATACTCAATGGTGATTTGCTTTAAAGATCTATTAAGGAGGACACGTGGTATCCTTCTAGTATGTTTTGCTCACTTTACACTACTAGTGCTTGTATAATGGCTAATATAAGTTGTTCTTCATTCAACTGCCATTTGTGCCATGGGTAGTTATTTGGGCATTTTTGGTAATTCCGTTTCTTAGGCTGAGGCTCCATTACTGCTTCTGAACAAAAATGAGTTTTTGCACAATAGATCTGTACTGTCATTTGAAAGTTTTTTTTCTAATTTTTCAGGAGCTACAGCTTTTTCTTACAGTTTTCATAGGAGGCAAGAGGCCACATGGGTGGGCATAATAATACAAATGAAACCAAATCACTCCAAGTTGCAACATGGCAATTCAGTAAGACAGAGACAAAACCACAGTATTACCGTATGGAAACCCCACAATGTTGAAGGCATTTGTTACTTTAATTCTGAGAAAGAAAAGACAATGATTTGTAGAATACCTTGATGAAGCTATTACGTAATAAGCAGCAAAGTAAGTCAATGTAATGATTTTATATATATAGTATTTTTATATATATCATTTATATATATGATTATATATATGATTTATATATTATTTATATAAATATGATTTTTTATATATATGATTTTATACAGAAATAACCCTTCCTGAAAACACTAGGGTTAGGGTTAGCACTTGAAAAACATTGTTTGTGGAAAATCTAGCAAATACCATCAAGTTACTTAATTATACAGTTGCTCAATAAATTTTTCTTATACTGGAATACTGAAAATCAGAGGAATGGATTTAACTTATACCATACATACTAATTTATCTCTTCAATTAGTAAGATTGCCATAACAATCTATAAGAGACTGCAAAAACCTACTAGCATAGGCAGATTCTCTGGCATTCCTCAAAGGTGAAGCTCTTTCACCCACAAATTTAACTGACCTTCTTTTCCCTCTGCCTTTCACAAACTACCGATACAAATGCCATGTCTATTAGCAACATAATGCACTGAATAACAGTTTGATCCTTTATCTGAAACATTAAAACAAAGAATAAGTGGTTATTAAAATCATGACTGACTTTAGGGGTCAGTAATACTTGCCATTCATGTGAGACTTGTTCTCAAAGAGCGTAAATAAGCTCCATAGGCAAATGTCACATACAACCTCACCCTCCAGTGGTCATGGCTAATAACCTGCCCATCACACCAGAGGACAAAAGCTGGCTGTACAATAGAGCAGCCAGTCACCAGAGATTTCCCAGGAAGCTTCACACAGCGGTGCTAGGCAGACTTGTGAGAAAGAGAACTGATGTTACATTCCAGTAAATATTAACAAGCTATTGGACCTAACATGGCCAATCCCGAATCCATTCGACAAAGGCATCTCTTGTTGACTTCAGCAGGAGCTCAGCAGGGATCAGTCTGTTGCCCAAACAGGAGGGCTAGTCAGCTATTTAAAAGTGATCACACTTAACCACTTTACTGTGGTCTTTCTCTTTAGCCTTCATCACTTTGGAATTTACAAGATCATTTCACTGTTACCCAGTAACTATAGTGCCAATCCATTTATCCGTGAAACATTTGTAGACAGGGATGCCGTTTTGGATACAAGGATTGCAGTGTCAATTGCAGTAGATTTGATGGTTGCAAACAAGTTAGAAGGAAGCAGGGAAAGGAAATCAAGCAATAGCAGAAATCTGTGTTTGTTTCTTTATTCACTTACACTGAACTATTTCTATTAAACAGTCTGGAAAAAATATTTCCATTTTTTTCTACAGCTGTAATGATCTAAGGCCATATGCATAATAACATCTGTAAGGAGGAGTAATACTTCCTGTCAGATGGCATAGAGTCTAATTTTCCAGCTATACTGATTGATCCAATAAAAGATGCTACCTGTATCTACAAACCTTGTCACAGGAAACTAACTGATGATGATTAGAAGCTTTTTCTCTAATAACATCCAAATCAAAATCTCACATGTGATCCCTCACCAGGAAAGCTAAAAAGCAGATTTGACTCCCTTTCTTCTCATTTGCTGTCCTGGACTATCACATACTGCTGATTGCTTTAGTTTTATCCATGCCTCACCGTGGATACCCCCATTATAGTCAGTAGCAAGAAAGGTGGTGCTATGGTTCCAAACACTTTTTGAAGTCATTCTCACTATTCTTTCTCTTTTTCCATCTGACCCTCTCCCTACAGCTACCTTTTCTCTGCAACTCTCTTTCCAAAAACAGATGCCTCACGCCACATCCTCATCTGCTTTTCCCCCAAAATTCTCTTCACCACCTCCTTTCACACATAATATACCCAGCTCTCACTGGAAAAGCTTGGCAGCTCTGTCTTTCCTCTCTGCAACCCTTATTCTCTAACACTGGGCACCTTAGTGCCAAGAAAACCAAATGTTCAGCTGGGAGAAAAAAATACATCCCAGTTGTACCAGCCACTTACCATAGTTCTGCCCCATATGTGTGCCAGGCAGCAGAGGAAATAAGTAACATGCCTCTGCCCCAATCAGAGGTATAAACACTAGATAGTATGCTCTGGAAATCAACAATAAAAAAAATGCTCAAATCTACAATACATAAAATAGACTTCAAGGAAGTACAAATAGGTGCTAAAAAGTTAAAGACTGACAGTCCCCAGAGCCTTCATGTTACTAGGGCAATTGTCTGCTACAGCAGAGGTGACACAGCTCTCTTCTCTAGCCTGCAAGGGAATTGAAGGTCTCAAAATCAAACAGAATCAGAAAATATCGTATGTGAAAAGAATAATTTTATTAATCTCCCCATAAGAAAATTATTGGATAGGCCACTGTAAGCAGAAGCACACAGTCCTGAGGACTAGGAGGAAAATATTTTGTCCATACTACAAAACCAAACAAATATCTAAGCACGTCCATGCCTCAGCCACACTATGACAGGCTGGTTTAGTTTTCTACCTCCAGCCACCAGCAGCTGGCAATGCAAAGTTCCTCCCTTCATGGCCACTGTCATTTTTCCATTGTTGTTCTCTGAGGTCCAGATAACCTTCTATTTTTGGAGGAGCAGACGTCCAAGAATCTAAGGTCTTTGAAAAGGACAGCTGGCGATGTGCTGTACTCTTCTTATACAACTTACATATTGAGCACTTGTTCAAGCAACAAAACATTTAACTCCCTCCCTGATGAAGAATCTCTGAATCTAAATAAAAAAATGGAAGTACAGTCATTAAATCAAAGAGTAACTAATATATTCTACCCCTGTATTATGACAAAATAGGTGGCGAGGTTTTTCTCAGCTAATTTAACATCCTATTAAGGGTGTTCCAAAGGAGGATTAACATGAGAGTGAGAATGGGAAAAGATCAGATTTAACACTCCAAATTTTAAATACAAGGATTCATGATAGTCTTGAGTTTTAAATGATTGGTTGATCATATAAGACACCACTCAAAGCTATAACCAAAAGCTTTTGGAAATATTCAGTACATGACCCATAACAATAATGGTAAGACTAGTGAAAGTTATTAGAGTTGTCAGCTTAGCATATAAAAGTCAAGAAAATGTCAAAAGTACATCTCTTCTGTGTATAAAACTATCAGCAAAGTGAATTTAGCAATTTGTTAGGGAGGCATTAGGAATCAGATGCTTTGCTTTAGCTACCTCTAAAAGTGTCATTCATGTAGATGTCAGCAGCTACTAACATGGAAATTATTAAAAAGAGAACAAGCCGCAGAACAGCTGAAACTGTCACCTTCCTATATCTCACTTTCAGAGCACTTTGGAAGGCTGGCTTTCATCCTGCCTTTCCTCATTGCTTTATACAGGGCTATGTTCAAACTGGGGAAATTAGAAATCATCTCTAAGTCAAACAGTGTCTGAAATCTGTCCACAAATTGGTTCTCTTCCTTCAACCTAAATTTCATAGCCCACAGAATAACAGTATCATTCTTGCACAGGTGATCAAAAGTTAGGAGGAGTTCATTCAGGAATGGATGGTGGTAAACTACATCAGCAGCCATAATGTAGTCAAAGTGACAGGAGGACCTTGGAAAGTTCTTTTCCAGATCAATTCCCCAAGACAGTTCCTTAACACAAGGCTGGTGCTTGCTTTTCAGCTTCGTATTGTAAAGAACATTGTGCTGAAGGTTTCCCAGTAATTCTGGCAAATCTGTGGCAGTCACAAGGGCACCTGTAACATGGAGAGAACAAATGGAATATTTTAATATACTTCAGGACTTCACTAAAAGTCCATTCACAAAAGCTACTGCACAAGGAACTGGTTTCATCAGATAGCTCCCACTGAGGGTAAGAGAACAATGCAAATGCTCCCAATAACTCTTAGACATTGTGCTTGAAATAAATACTTGGTTCATCATAGTTCTATTCTACAGATTGCCATCTAAACGCAGCTGGTGGAGAGAAATTAGATACTTACTGTACCTTGATATCACATTTGTTAAAAGTACAGTGACCAGCTAAGGATCAAGGAATACCAGTTACTGACTCCAAGAAGTCAGCATGAGATTTAAACATTGCTTCAGGTTCTTTCCTTTTCACAGAGGAAGAAGCTTTCTTAGACTACAGAAAGCTAAAGTTCCATTAAAATGCAGACACCAGTGACCCGGAATACTCTTGAGAAAGAATAGGCTACCATGAAAGAAAACACAACAGTGTCTGGAGCAGGAAAATCAAGTTGCTGAAGGAAAATACTGAAACACAAATAGATAGAAAGTGGCCTGGCATCCAAGAGTTTGGTCAAGGGAAGGGCTCCAAGTGACATCCTGTGAAGCCACTAATTTCTTATTTTGGTCCTCTGTTTAACATAGTTAATGACAATATATTTACTCCTATGTTGTATCAATACACTCACAGAGAAAGAAGTAACAAAGCATGTTTCCAAACATGCCTTTTAGAATCTACTGATCCTTGGTCTGGGAAGCTCTCAAACAACAGTCATTTGGAAGAAGAAAGCAACTTCCTTTGTCCTCCACTATTCATCTCAGAGATATTTCTAGGAGCATAAGAGCAATGGCATATACTCACCCAGTAAGCTGGCTACTATGGAGACCAACCCAGTTCCAGCTCCAATTTCAATCACATTTTTGTCAACCAAATTATATTGTTTAGAATTAGTTTCCAAAAAATAACACAGAACAAGAGCCTGTAGTGAAGGAAATCCATGAACATACTGAATAAATTAATGAAACAAACCCCTTCACTAAATATGCATTTTCATTCCAAAGCATGCAAAAAACCTGTTGTCTGTTCAAATGAGCAATATTCACGTAAGCACTATCCCTAAACGATCACAATTCACTATGATCTTTGAGACGTATAGGTCACAAAATAAATGCCACAACATGCAACCATATAGGTTTGTAAATTATTACAGCCAGAGGGAACAATTGCAATTAGATAATCTTACATGAGCTGTAAAATTACAGTCAGCAAATCCTGCTTATAACTGCAACTTCTGATGGATTTAAAAGGTGCCCTTCACAAAGACATCTTGATATTAGAGCTGCTTGTGAGAGAAAATCCATAACAACCCTTGTTAAGTTCTTCCAGTAGTAAATTATTTCTAAAAACAATTAATTGCCATAATGATTCAAAAGGGATGAATAGATTTACCCCTTTTCTTCCAGTTCAGTTTGTTTTCAGTTTCTATGTGCTTAACTTGTTAAGCTTAGCAAGCTTTCATAGCAAATATAGCCATAAAGAGCCCTCTACAACAGACCCCTTACATATGTATTTATAACCTGTGATTGAGAAGCCCCTTCAGCTTATCTGCCTTGTCTCACACTAATCAATGAATTTTAGTTCACTGTTGAAATAGAAATTGTTAATTTTACATCTCTGGCAAATACAGTTTCAAGCTTGTCTCCCATATTTTTGCCCAGACTATGATAATTATATAGTCTCCACTGACAAATATATATAATGGTTGCCACATCCCCTTGCAATACAGATGACCATTTGGAAAGGCAATTATCAGCGACTTGGTCTGGCACAATAAAATTACACTCTTACTTTTGCTTTCAACTAATTAGGAAGGAACAGGACTGTTGACCCAGTGTTAACATTCTAGAAATTCAAACAAGGTTTTTGTTTTCTACCTCTTAATTCGGACCATAAAAGAGTAGGTAATGTGAGTTCTGCTAAAGGAATAAGTCTGTGAGAACCAGGACTAATTAAAGTCAGGTTCCTATAGATTGGGTCTGATATTTGACTGATATTTGGCACATTATATTAGGATTTCCTGTTATTCCATAAACTCCTATAATTCCTCCCCTCAGAGTTTTGCCCTATTCTGCAGTAGAAACCAGCTAGCAGAATCAAAGTATCTGAGAGTTCTGCCTTTCCACGAAACATACAGAAACTTTAACAAAAATAAAGTTTCTCCCCTCTTGACAAATTTGGCTGACATTTTTCAGAAGAGTTCAAGTAAAGCTAGATCAAGAGGAAAGGGGAACATTAAGAAACACAAATGGAAAGATTGTCTTCCTTACACATAGCAAAACTTGCTAAGCCCTTCCAAAAAGGAAGCCCATGATTCTGCGAGAATAATCGGCACTCAGCCAAACTTTCCATGAGGATGTGCACTGAGATCACTAAAACATACCATATAGATTATTTGTCCAAGTCTCCTAAAATGAGGAATATCACAGATGAATGAACCTAAGATGCTCATACAGTTGAGTCAGAAATGGAGCCTCCTGGGTCTCTCCTACAGGGACTGTTCCCAGAAAGCCTCAAGTGCCAGTGGTTCATTGTAGCACCTTCTGGTGGTTTCTTTCAGTCTCAACTATTTTCAAACAGTCAGTTAGCTACGTTGTACAGATTCAAAACCTTGAAGAAGGCTCCTTGTATGGTGGATGTGCTCATGGTTCTTTTATCAAGAGCCAAGGACAACGGTTCTCTCCCGCTAGATTTCTGGCTGCTTAAAAAAATGAAAAGTTCCTTTTCCCATGTCTATGTATTTATAAGGAAATTTGTTTCTTACATTAGTAGGCTGAGTAGCTTCTATGAGTGTTAATATCTTGTGAGCTTGTAGCATAGCTGTTTCCACAACCTGGATCTGCCTGATACACAGCCATCTGTATTCACAAAACGTACAGAAATGTAATAAGCATAAAACTGCCATATTTCCTTCAAAATATGCTTAGAATTACCTAATAAGATCAAAAGTTACTGGTAAATGAGGAGGGGACACAAGATCATACACCTTATATGACTGGGGCACAAAGAAGAAATACCATCTAAGCTTTCAGAACCACAAATTTAAACAAAAAAAGACTAAATTCAGATTTGGGATTTCCAGAACAGAGAAGCACAGAATTATTTCTTTGGGTTTACAACATATAATAAAACATATTTATCATATAAAACAAATTAAAAAGCGCTAGAAGACTCCAAAAATAAAAAATAACAATACTGCAAAAATATTGTACCGATGGCCAGACGACTGCCCCGTAACAATCAGTGGCTTCTGTAATTCTTATCTCATGGCCAGCAAAGTGAAAGCCTTCCCAGGTCTTATGACTTATAAGAGCAGGAAAGAAACGCCTCTTCATGATTTCTGCAACTATCTGTTCATCCTCTTTTTCCCCTAGAAGAAAAAGTATAAAAAGTCAAGTAGGCTAGTGGACTGATAATGAAATCACCAATTCATATTGAAAAGTTGATCTGGAAGCAAGAACATGAATGACATCTGTAAATAAAAATACATTTCACCATTAATGGTTTGCATGATACATTGGAATTTTCCTGAATTCTAATTTTAATTCTAATTTCTAAAGTTTTATATTTTATGACTAAATAATTTCTTTTCTATTTGTTGAAGCAGCTAAGTTCATAAAAATTAAAGAAGGGGAATGTCACCATACATTGTTTTTACTTTCAGCAATCTAAAGGAAATTTTTAAACTTCTTTTTCCCTTCAAAAACAGCTGCCCTAGTATAGGTACCCACAGTCTTATGCGCCCAAATTTTTCATTATTTTCCATATCCTTTTGCTGTTCACTTTCCCCACATTATGGTTCTTTTTGACAGTAAACAAAAGGAGCCAGAGTATCATATATGTCTGTCACAAAACTTGTGAAACAGATCCTAGCAACGCAAATTATGACAGACAGGAGTGCAAGCACCAGTGTTATCAGGAAAGCTTATCCACCCACCCCAACAGAGCCCTGTCAGAGGTATTTTTTCCAGTTGGCTCGTTATCCTGAATGCCCTCCCTGTTGCTAAGCAAAGGATATTTATGATAGCTAACATAATCCTGGATAACTCTTATAACTGGAGAGGATTCATTCTTTTTTAGCTGCATACCAAGCTAATTTCAGTTTTGCCATCATCACAGAAAGCAGCACCACAATGTTAGGAAAAGAAATATGTAAGTGAAGTTGTCTAGAGCATTTTCTTAGCAAAGTCTAGATTTATTCCAAGTTTTCACAGGAATTTTGCTTTCAGTGCCAACTATGAACTGTTGGCAAATCAGCTAAAGCAAAACATGTTTGCAAGCTACACCTTCTAGAAAGCATGCTAGAGAATTAGATAACTGGGTTACCACCTTGTCCAAAGCAGAGTTTCCTGTATCGAGCCTGCAGCCCCCCTCAAAGTAATAGATATCAATATCAGGATCTGCATAGAAATTGCACACCCAATTTCTGTTAAAAATATAAACATTTATGCTTTCATTGGCATAAAATATATTGGTCTAGCAAAGATTCTTCACATTTTCTTCTTTCTCAAATCATTGAAGTCACAGGACATGACAGCCACAAGTGTTGTCACTTGTTTTGCCATACGCCTCAGTAATTTTCTTGCTAACATATTGACAAAGTCTCTCTCTCTCTTCCCTGTGATACAAGGCCCAAGGAGCAAAAGCAGGAGTGAACCAAGAAAAAGATGATACCAAACAAAAATACGTCAGGAAGATGCTCAGGCTCATTAGCCAGTGCTTTAAGCTTGTAATGCAACTTTAACCATTAGAGGAAACTAGAAGATAGCAACAAATAAGAAAGAAGAAGCAAAAGTGTTCAATCTTAGTATGTTGACCCTAAGACACAAAAATCCAACAAAAAACAACTAACCGACCACAGTACTCCAAGAATTTATTGTGGGGGTAGAACCCTAATCATGGGATACAGCAAAATTAAAATAATGCAACACATATACTACTGGAAAAAAACACAGTTTTTTTATAAATTTTATAAAGATAATTAAAATAAAATGCTCAACACTGAAACTCAGGTATTTTAAGATGTTAGGAAACAAGTAATATGTGTCAGCCCATTACATCTTCTCCAAGCCTCTAACTTTAAGCTGAGAGAAAATACGAGTCATTGTGCCTGTAATCAGGGAGCTCTTGACAAACATGAATTAAGTGTCAGAGAAATGCTGCTTCAGGGCAAAATTTATTTATATATATATATATATAAAAGAAATATCATAAAGCTATCTTATTACTCATATCATAAGTGCATTTAATATATCATCCAGTTTCCAAGAATACCAGATACAGCCTGCTTTTAATCTTCTCCTATTGCTTAGAGCAGTCTGATCTTGTTCTGTGATCATTACTTGCTGTGGAAGTAAAAGCTATTCCTTCTATTACTTCTCAATTACAGCCATTTTTCTTGATTCTTCCTCCCCTGACATCAGTTTTGGATCCAATTTTGTTGAGAAGCTGGTAACTTATTAAGTCTTAACTTACAAAGCTTCTGCCAGAAGATCTATAAAACTTTAGCAGTATTACAGCTACCCCTCTAGTGCTTAATAAACATTTCCCACCTATTCCCTACGTGATCAGCAAACTTTCTACTTCAGTCTTGTGTAGCACCTATACCAACAGAATTTTTAGGCCACTGCTCCCTTCCTGAGCTAAACTGTCAGCACTCCTGAAAGAAAAATCCCCAATCTCCTGATTAATAACACCACTGAAATTTTTGCCCGTCTTATCCTTCTGGTAATCCTACAGGTGAGTTACCTGGAGAAGCTTACACACATTTTTTTTTATTATTATTTTCCCCTAAGATGATACTAGTATTGTGAAGAATCAAAAACAGTATCTGTTTCAGAGTTATCATAAGTTACACAGGCTTTAAAACCCTAATGGGAAACTTTATCAGGACCAGGATGCTAACGATACTGATGAAGAGTGCTGACAAAAAAAGGAGTGTAGACTTTTAGTCAGATTCACTTTCCTTCAGACAAGTTTACACACTGCAAAAGACACTCATACTGCAAAAGACACTTCTATTTGCTGCTTTATATCTTTCACAATAAATTCTTGTAGGATTGCACAAAAGGAAAGAAGTTTATTTTTCTGTAACTGCCTTCAGAGCAGTCAGAAGAGAAAAAAAAAAAAGAGCTAGTGGAAAATCTGTCAAGTGACACAAAAATTACTGTAAGATTAAGTAAAATCCAAATGAGATGAAGTCTTCTAATAACTGAAAACATTTAGAAAATTCTGCTGGTACTTTAATCAAACTAGTTTCTTGGTAACGTGCAAAAATCCAACAGCGAGTTATGTTCCTGGAAGTGTTTATCTCTGTGTTAGTTCATATTCTTTTGTTCAGAAAAAAAAACCCTGAAATTATGACTCAATGAATGGATTCTAATGACATTTTAGGACAACAAGAAATGACTCGTCAGTAGAATAGGATCAGACAAGAGAGGAGGCTCGAATGACTTGTTTGTCAATTCTTATATGTATGGAAGTGCATAATGGGCATTTCCAGCAATACTACTCGAGCACCCATATTGAACTTAAAAGTCTGTTAATATCAGAACTTAAAGGTCTGCTAGGACTGGATCCTCTCCTCTTCATCTGCCTGTGCTTGACCAGGTAGGTTTGCTCTCACTCCTCTTCTGTGATGTGGAGAGGCATGAAAGTGGTATATACATAGAATGATGTTCTTCAGCATATTCATCTATTTGTATGAGCATACATACACAGAAACCACTGAAGTTTCAAGTGCTAAAACCTTATTTACATTAAGACAAAGCAGTCTGATCCTGTTCAGGTAACACAGAAATTGAGATAGTTTTTCTTAGTGAAACAGATAGCACTCCTTTGGTCTTGAACTTGTGTTCAGAAAGAAGTTACCATCTGTAGATGTCGAAATACTTCAAGAAATAGAATTTTAATGTCTTTAAGTTGCTTAAGACTTTTTGCCTAATAGGCTAATTTCTCATAGTGTTCTTTGAAATACTTCAGATAAAATATTGATTATTATAGAAGTCTATCTTTGGAGTTAAAAATCTTAGGAGTGTGTTCTTTGAAGTCCCTGTATTTTACATGAATATCAGGGCTGAGGGAAAAAACTCAGGTACTGCTGACAAATCTTGCACTGTATCAACCACATCATACGAAAAAAGCATCATTCTCAAAGGCAAAGCAATCACCATTATTGCAACTGAAATTCAAACACAGTTTTCCAAAGAGACATACTAAATCATGTGGAAGACTGGAGTTGTGAAGTCAGTGGCAGGTTAGTTAGAGAAACTTGTGTCAAGCTGCAAAATCTTGTGTAAGGAGCAAGAGGATTTTGCTGACACATGTCAAATGTTAAAATGTGACTTTCATTGTCTTGTTACAACAGAGCTTAAAGAAAGAAAAGGATGTGAGTTCTGCTGAGACACACCTGGAGAAGTCCTTCAAGAGGGGAAGGAAAAGCAGAAGAAAACAACAGGAGACAGACCAAGTTAGAATGAAAAAAGATGCAAACTGTAGCATTTTTTCTTTAACAATGCAGAAGGCTGTCTTAATTTGCACACTTTTTGCTTAGAATGAGTAGAAATTGCACCTGTTTAGAAACTAAGTACATGATCAGCTGTTCCCTTGACACCACCTGTCACATAAAATCATGCCTGGAAGTATATAGCTCCACCAGGAAATGGTAACCTTAAAATACAGTTAAGTATCCATCAATTAATAGCATATATGGAATCTCTCTTTGCAGAACTAGTGATATTGCCTACATTATTGCATTCTCCACAAAATAAAGAGGGAGCAGAGATAGGCACTGGAAAGCAGCATTTAAAATGCAGGGAAAACAGCAAAGACAAGGTAGCTAAATTAAAATTTTATTAAAAAAAAAAAAGTTACCATTGCCTAAATACATGAATTAAAATGTGGCTAAAAAAGTGAAATGACCCTTACACATGAAAGCTATTAAGAAAATACTATCAGTCAATATCTCCATTTTCAGCCTCATTCACAAATAGCACACAGAGTAACAAAACATATTCCAAGTTCTTTGATAGTGGATAAGAGCAGCATTATTTCAGAAACAACAGTTTCAACCACGGATTCATCAAAACAGCCTACAGGAAAAAAAAATACATGTTAGCCTCTTTCAAGTGTTTCCTTGACCCTACTTAATCTTTTGAGGTCAAATGGTGTCACAGCCCAAGGTCATAAGGAAATAAGATCCAGTCATCTCTGCTTCTCTCCTGCTTTGATGGATCTTCTCCAACTGGCAAAAGGAATGAAATTCAAGACTTAAGCATGAACTTGACCTGACAAAGTTCAGCCCTACAGCAACATTTTCTCCCTACTTCAGAAGCAGTATAATCTCACCTGTAGGGTTTAGATTAAAAATTTGCCATTTATATTTGTACTTACAAATATTTTAACACCATGTATTAACACCTGTGAAGACACTCATGGTTCCTCTGTGGCTTCTCAGCAATTGCGTCAGGGCCTGATGAACACAGGTGGGCTATCTGTGCTGATATTACTGATTGAATAATGCAAAAAAGTTCCAAGAGTTCATAACAGCCAGTACTCTTTGGATCCCCCCACTATGGACACATGGGACTGGAGTCATACAAACTAAGTATTTAAGATGTGTTTTATATATATCATATAGACATAATATGTATAATACACATAGCATATATATATATATATATATATGTATGAAATAGCTATCTATATATCCCAAAGTCAAGAGGATACCTGCAGAAAGATCAGTCACAGAACAAATCTGCCAGTATTTCTGTAAGAGCTGACTGGAGAAGAGTTGCATTACTCTACTGATAGAAATCATCAGAAGGTATTCCTGTGAATCCATGAGGGTATTTCCAATGGCTCAGACCAAATTTACCCCCAAAATACATAAAGGTCCCAATACTGAGGGACTCTGGCATCTCCGAATTTTTACTGAGCTACTGATATCTCTGGATCAGAGCCCTGGTCCTGCAAGCATTACAGATGGCTCCATGGAAACATACACAATCTTGAATCAAAAAATAGTCCCTAAATTTCAGGTGGTATCCCTTTAGTATCTTTATTTCATTTCACTTATTTCTATTTCATTCCATTCTAGCCTGAGGACCCTTAAAGGAAGGAGTTAGGAGGGAAATGTAATCATGCCCTTGACTTCACAGAAGACAGATGTAACCTATACCTTTCTAAGAATATAAAGCACACTTGTCTAAATGACAGTTAATTTTTTTCTTATTTCATCCCTACCTACAAAAAGGGAGATCATCATGTAAGTGTTAGTATTCCAGTACATTCATTACAAGTTCAACCTGCTGAAGTGATGGAAATGAAGAGGTGTATTATATTGATTAATCTGAGATACTACGTCATGGTAAGATAGTACTTGAAATTTTATACTTTGAAATGTAGAAATACAAAACTGCCACCACAGGCAGCCTCTTCTCAATCAAAAGACAAAATACACTTAGCTCAGAGCATGAGGACACAAGAACTGAAGAACACAAGAGCTCACAGTATCCAGTCTATGTATTTACACAGGCTTGAGAGGCATTTATAAATTTGAAATTTACACCACTGATATCCCAGTCCTACCCAAGTCACAGGTCATTTAAAATCCATTAAAAGGCTGAAAATAGAAGTACTGTAGTGTCCATCTCAGGGACACATAATGAATTCTAATGTGTGAAGTACTTCCCCCATTACTTCATCATGTTTGTCAGTCATTGAAAACACCCTCAGGTCAAGGCTCTGCATCTATTTAATCTCTAAAAATAACTAAACTATTTGACTTTGACTACAAAAGACTGTAACCCTTAAATTAGATGGTTTAATGTTTTTTATAAAAGGCAACCAACTTCCTGATGGATAGGAAGAGACTCAAGAAAATGCCATCAGTTTTCACTTATCAATAATTCTGGGTTTCTAAAATATATCTTTGAATAAAGGACCTGAAAGTAAACTAAAAACTAAAATCCATGCAACCATACTTCCTTTCTCAGGTAGCAGTTGAAAAATTTTATTTTTTTGTCAAAATGCAGCTAGTACAAAGACTAGAGAAGTGAAAATAGGAAAGATGTGCACATGGGTGAGAGGGAAGAATAAGTTGCAGAGTTAATGTATGCTTTGATTTATTTGTTGAGCGTTGCCTCCAGCTTCTGCTCTATCCATATACAAGAAGTTTCCACTTGAGCTTAGCAATGGTGAAAGTAGGTCTACTTGTTGTGGGGAGAGAAAAGGAACAGAGAAGTGTTAAATTAATGAATTTTTACTGACATTTACTAGAGTACTTGAATGCTTCCACTTTCAAACAAAAGAGCTGAGAGGTAACTTACTGTAAGACAGTCAAGAGACAAATAAAGAGTTATTTCTAGACTATTACACTTTCCTGTGAAGGTGCTGTTTATTTCTAGTCACCCCTTAATCGAGTTACACCGAAGTGTTATTCTAAACTACCTCTTTTAGCTTTTTTGGTTTAGAGACAGCTTGTTGCCTAAGAGGAGGAGAATTTGAGTTCTGGTATTTCTCAATCTTGGAATGAAGCAAAAAATGTAGGTAACTAATGGTGTAACTTCCATGAGTTGGAGGTTTTGTGTGTAGGTGTTAATGCTTTTAGGATGAGAATTAATGTAAGAGATTATGTGTTTGTTTATGGTTTTGGTTTTTGGTTGGTTTGGGGGTGGTTTTTTTGTTGTGTTGTTTTTGTTTTGTTGTTTTGTTTTGTTTTTTTCTGGGTTTTTTGGGGGGGGTTCTTAAGATAGAAGCATAATTCAAAGCAAAGAGACAAGAATAAAAATGAAAAGAAGGAAGGTGAAAGAAGGGAAGTCAGGTGGTGTGAGAAGATATTGTTAAAGTGTAATTTCTATATAGTATAATATATTATTTAACCAGCTGTATTAATTGCAAAGTCCACTATATAAAGAATGGTTCAGTGACTGAGGAACTCAGAAAATGGAGGAACTGAGTGCTGGATCTTCCTCAGAGGAATTCAGATTCACAACTCACTCACACAAGGGGTGTGTTCTAGCCATCCTACAGAACCAGGTGCTTCCCTTCCCCTCCATCACCACCAGAGGTGGGCCATCAGAAAAACAGAATCATGCTAGAAGGACAACAAGCAAGGAAAAGCCCAATGACAAATTGGGCACTCAGTTGTGAAAAGGCAGGCTTAGGCTCCATGCTCAGGTCCCAGGACATTTTTCACAGTTTATAGCAAAGTCTTTGAAGTCAGTGGGAAAGTGTCATCAGGGAAGGAAACGAGAAAGAGAAGAAGTATCCTTAGAAGTGACCCAGGAAATAGGAATGAGATGCTACCTCACTCCTCTTCCCAGATGAATATCTTAATTTCTAATTTACAGAGTTAGGCTGATTCTCACTTTGCTCCATTCCAAGTATGTCCTGTTTAAGGCACCTTTCTGGACTTCACCAAGACATTTGAAATGATGGCAGGCATTGCCATCAATTAGGACATCTGTCAAGCAGGGTGAGTAGAGGGAGCATGCCCCTTCTAAAGTGTCAGGAGTTATTAGAAGGTTACCAGGTCAGCATTTTCTCAGATATTTATGGATTAAAAACTAAGCCCTGGCCAAGTGAAGTGCAACGATGGACTGTCAAGAACAAGTATGCCTTGCAAACTTGTTCTCCTCTTTTTGTCTCAGACATAAAATTATTCTGTGGTGAATTTATGGAATGTAATTGGGGTAAAGTAATTTAGTGTCCCAAAAAATTAGGATGGGATTGTTACAATCTGATCTCAGAAACGTTTAGCCAAAGAGACTTAAAGCTAATGATCGTGAGAAATTATGTGAGGAAAGAAAGGAGACATCTAATGATGAGGATGTGGAGAACTGATTGGATAAAGACACAAGAGGAAAGATCAGACTGGGTGAGAACCTACCTGTAAGCTGAGAACAAGTAGTAATGGAAATTATGAACAAAAATAAGGAGTTTTAAACTGAAGAACTTATGATGAGTTAATTAAGAAGCAAAGGGGAAGGCACCAAAGATAAAGAGTTCATATTGTGAGAGTGGTGTGACACTGGTTGCCCAGAGAAGCTGTGGACGTCCCATCCATGGAAGTTTTAATGGCCAGGATGGATGGGGCTTTGAGCAACCTGGTCTAGTGAAAGGTGTCTCTGCCCATGGTCTTTAAGTTCCTTTCCAAACCAAAACATTTTGTGACTCTATGATCCCATGACTGGAATTTGCAGAGAAGCTGAACTGGAAAAAGAACCTCGAGAAACAGATATTGAGACTGGGTAGGTGAGATAATGAAATAGGAATGGTGAAGGCTGTAGAGAAAAAGGATGAGAACAGGAAAGGTGCAGGCTCAGAGTGATCGAGCAGGTAAATCTCCATACAGCAGGTTCAGCACCCTTTACTTCCAGAACCTGGCATGGAATTTAAGATGCCAAAGTATGGTGTCAGATGAAACCGTAAAGATATTCCAGTTTCCATTCATGTCTCCTTATTCTCTTAAAATAGTGTTTCTAGGCATGGAAGAGAACCACCTGTTACTGCTGTCAACACAGTTCCTCTGTTAGCTAAGTGGAATGTATTTCTGCATTTGATCTAAGTATTCTGCTGACTAATTTGCTTACATTGACCTAATGTCCTAGAACTCAATTTATTTTCATAATTCAAATCCTAAAGAAACTACATGCAGCCTCACTGTTCCCTGCCCTGAATCCTACATGAAGAGAATATCTATATCAGAGAGACAAGCTTTCAGCAGCACAGAAATGACTGTGGAACTTTACTTCAGCTCACGTGTACTATGGAATACACAATGACTGTCATCAATATTTCAGTCTTTAGTAGATCTATCTTTAACATTTATTCTTCTAGATAATTCTTTCCCTAATAATCATGCTTCATTGCATAGGGTCAACTTGAGCTCTTTCTTCAAATCAGAATTACACAAAAGGGAACTGCATTAAAAAAAATCTCCAAATTAGGATGCAGTGCTTCGTAGAATAGCAACCTATACCAATCCCTATCAGCCATCCTCTTGTGGAACACCAGCTTTCAGAGAAGGTCACAGTTTCGGGTACTCCAAAAAAAGTATTTGAAAGTGAAATAACTGACATTAGTTTCAATGAGCAAAGAATTAATTTAAGTATTGCAGTCATGCCCAAAACTCCACCTTGCCTCACTGAACAGGTAGCAAAGCAAAACTGCATGCTGAAAAAAGCAGAAATCCCAAACCCTGGCTCTACATGGACCACAACTCATTGAGATTTTAAACAAAAATATTAAGAAAAATAAAATCATTTTAAACCTTTCTTCCTTTCACACTCAGCTGTAGAACATAATTAGAGTCCACCCCAAAACACATGCACCTGCCCTAAAACCTTGTCTCCTCCTGGGGACTGCTAAAAAGGGGACTACTTACAAATGCTTTAGGATCTTGAAAGGTGTACAGCCATGAAAGTGCTGAGGAGGAAAAGCTGTCAATAGCCCCTGAGGGATTGGAAAGATTAGGTCTGAGACTGTCTAGACAGAAACCAAGCTTGTAATAACCAATTCTCCCTAACTGACAGCCCGTAAACAAGCCTCTCTGAATAGCTTGATCATAGTCACAGCTTCATTCCCTGGAACCAGTCACAGGCAAGTAGCTGGAGGACAGATGCCTGGCACTGGTAGGAAACTGCCAGATCAAGAGTACGCAGGTATAACATACTTAAAATGCCTACTGCATAGCTAGAATACAAAAGCAGTATCCATTGTATTTTCTGCACAATTGGTACAAACACAGTTCTTCAGAAAAAATGAGTGAGAAGATAGTTCATTGTCAGGCAGACACTTTGTACACTTAACAATATTCTTAAATGCAACAAGGAAAAATAATGAAATGAGAAACATTTTACCTTCTTGTTTTTCCAATTCTCTTACCAGTTCATTTTGTAGATAATTATGTTGTGATGATTCCATATCCATACTATGTCACAAACCCTGGGACAGAGAAACACAAGCCTGCCTGAATTAAAGTACCTTATTTCTTTTTCCCCACAGACACTTAATTAAAAAAAGAAAATTCCTTTTACATGTATTATGCTATAATTTACTTAAATAGATAATAAAACCATGTAGACACATAAATATCAATATTCAAGGCATAAAAGAACCAGAAGCAAACTAGTTCAACTGCTATACTCTCAAAGAGGCAAAAGAGCAGACTTTAAAAAAAATGAGAGAGATAAAAAGCTCTAACAAATATTTAAAACTATTTTATGAAATCTTAAAATTAGAACAAACACTGAAATCAGGGTTTGCAGGCTCATAAAGGATTGAAAGGAAATGTAGCAAAAAGTGTCTGAAAGACA